TACTGCATTCCACTGTCAGTTTGCCTGAGTAGAGAAAACTACTGACTCAACGTGGGGATACCATATGACGGAAAGTGACAACATACAGGAAACTACAATAAACTATAGAAAAATAGGAGGAGTGTAATAGGAATTCCTTTTTTTTTTTTAAGTTCTAAATTTAAACTCTGTGCAAACTACTAATCCTGCAACATCGATAACCACAAAGACTCTATTTACTATTAATAATATCAGCATAATAAGCATACATACCTACCTTTGATTCAATAAACAGCAGGAATAATTGAAGAACATACAGTATATTAATATTGGCATTACAATTACATTTACCAGTTTGATACCCATCACAGATTTTAAACTCATTTTAAAAAAGCTGGAGAAATCATCTGTGGGTGTTTGCACCTGCTATATCTGACTGTATATGGATTTTAATGACTACTTTTTTTTTTACGATGTTGTATTTTAGTGTTGCCTCTGTGTTTAGTGTCCTGTCTGTGTGTAACTTTGTGTGGTAGTGTTACCACTGACAGGTGTCTCTTGAAAATTAGACCTTGTGTCTCAATGAGATCTAAACCTGTATAAATAAAGGCTAAATAAAAATAAATAAAACAAAATGTATTAAGCCAAATATGTAACTTAGTTTTATCATTTCTAACTTCTACTGTACTTTCACTTTTTACATCTTCTCAATTTGTCTGAAAGATATAGCCACTATTTATTCCTCAGATTCTGATTTGATATACGACATACAGCATATAGTCAGTTTACTTAGAGATTCAACACCTAATAAATTGTTAGAATTTAGTCCACTTTAACCACCTAAATGGAAAATGCAGAAGCAATTCAACTGATTTCGCAACCAATGATGCTGTACTTATCATGCACATAGGTTTTGCCTGTAGAAAACACATATATTTAATTGTGTATTGCTGTTGTCTTGAAAGCATATTGTATGCTTCACCTCAAATTGCAGTACACTTAATTTGCCTATACCAAAGTAAGGGTAACTTATTTTACAAGTCTGATCTGCTGATACTCGTACATATTTCCAATGATACATTAAAATATTTTTTAAAGCTTGTCACTACATGTTTTATTAGAACATTCATAGAAAACATTTGTTTATAGGCACTAGACATAATTCCTGCCAGCTATAAAGATCATTCTTTTCAGAGACTTTAGTCCCCTTAGGTGTTGGAACATAATTACAGCAGATATCCAGCCAGCAAACAAAAAAAGATTTAACGTTGAAAAGCCTGTTTTCCTTGTGATTTATATACCTAGCAAATAAAGTGCGTCTGATTCTGAGGGGATCAGCATCAGTCATGTTTATTTGAACTTGCATGTATCTTCACTCATCACGTTCCCTGCTGCCTGTAAGCAGTGAAAGTGTTAAGATTTAATGGGGTGATGTTGCTGCTTGCCAATAACATTTAGGTTTTTTCATCAGGGCTATACATTATCCCCAGTTGTTTTCTCTCTGTCTCTGTACCATGTCCTGACATGCCAAGTAAGAATGCCGTGTCTTTTAACTCCTCTATATGTTTAACCATTTAGATGTGTAATTACGTGCTGTGCAGGATGTCATAGCCGGGGGCCGAATTTACTCCAGTTTTCTTAAAAGAGAAATTCCACTTCCTTTGATTTGTTGAAAGGCCAAAGACTGAGAAATGCAAAGATAGTTACAGGGCTAGTGCAGTAGTTCATATACCAACATGAGGGGCTCCAAATGTAATACATGTACCGTAGATCAAGAGAGATGCAAATGACTGATGAAAGCCTGGGAATACACAAAAGCAGAAACATGCAGCTGTGGATAATGTGGGAATGTGCCTCGGTGTCTGATATTAACATAACAATGTGGGAGATTGCAATGAACCCAAAAGAAGTCCAAAAATGTAAGTTTCACATACTGTATATCAATTCATTGTTTTTGTATATCAACAAACCCTATATCAACTTTACACGCTGGAAACAGACCTGTCATTTTTAGCCATACTGTTTAGGCTTACACCTATATGCCGTGAGCTGATTATCGAGCCTTCATTGTAACAGTCGCGGGTACAATGTGTATTTGCGTGGGGGGTGTTACAGTAGAAAATTCCACTGTAGCGACCGGTACATTAATGGGAAACCCTAAATGTTTGAGCACCCTCTATGAAACGTCAAGCTACCGCACAGCACCCCAAAATAAATCTCTGGTGCCGCCACTGAGCCTGACTTGTGTTGGGGGGGCCCAACTTTGGGGCCTGACAGAAAAAGTTTGTGAACCACTGGACTAGAGGATTCATAACAAAAGCGAGTAAGTAATCTTTTGTGTTTTGTGGTAGTTGATATGTGATCTGGTTTTTCTGATTTCAGTAATGCTAGCAAGTTTTCTAAGGTTAATGTATTGCTATGAAGCAGCAGTCATAGCAATATACTGTAGCTATACATCCAGTATTCACTCACCTTTCAGCTCTGTTTTTGGTCATATTTCCTGAGTAAAAGTAGTGCCTGTACAGACAGATATTTAAAAGTTTTGGATTGAATGAATCAAAAAATATCTATTCAAGCAAAAATAAACTGAAGTTTGTCAAACATTTGAAAAACCATTCACAAAGACTCTCAGATAGTTTTGCTAATACGTTTGATAGAAGGATAACAAATATACCACAGCATCCTATATTATACTTAGCTGTTTTGGATTTATAAGGCAGGCACATGCGCTTTGCCATCTTTCTTTTGACATCTGGGCTGCAGCCCCTCTATCATTACCCTTACCTCCTCCTGCACACAGATGGCACCATATATCTTAATGTCCTAAAGGCCATTTCATCTGTCCCCTTTTACTAGTTTAATCTAAGAGTGTCTAAGAGAGCTTGTGTGGAATATCCAGCCAGACTTATAAAATCATATATAATGGTTGACATTAGTCAGTCAAACGTTGAAAGAATTGTCCAGAATCTTTAGATCCTTTCTTTCCTTTCTTTCCTGACTGAACCTACATTTCTGTTGTCATTCAAACATTATTTCATACTTTAAGCCTACACTAACAAGTGCTCCAATATATTACATTACATTACCATACATTACATAAAATTACAAAAAAAATACAGGATGTTCATTATACTTCCTGCACTGCTATTTTAATGTTGCTAAATATTCTTAAACATTTTTTTTGTATAGTCCTCAATGCTTATTGGTTTATGTCGAGGATGCCTATTGGTTTACATCTGTAACATATTTTGAATCTTACTCAAATCATGTCTCTTTCTCTATAGCATGTATTTCAAACTCAAGCCAACCTGGATCAAAGGTCTGTTCAGCACAGTGTTACAGTAGCTCTGATCTCAGTTGTTTTATGTACTCTATATGCCTTACTGACAAATCTGTTTTTGTGCCTAGAAACCCTGTTTCCACTACAGCTTTTGCATATGGTACCTGGATTAAAAAATCATAAGTATACATGCACTGGAAACCAAGCAGATTCATTCACCTCTCTCTTTCATAATGAGTCAGGTAAGGACACACATTTTTTACTTTCTTCACAGAGGTTAATACGCTTTGTGACCCTATCCACAAAGCCCCCTTCCCCTTCCCTGCTCTCCTCCCACCTCCACATCCTCCTGTCTGCTTTCCCAGACAGCCTTGTTAACTTGTCTACCGCTCTCTGAGCTTCTGCCAGCAAGAAAATAATAAACAGATAATTTTTTCAAGTCCACTTAACATCCATCATTGCTTTGCTATACTGCTGTGCTCGCTGTGGTTGACTTTAGTGACTCTCATTAAGACAATTTCTCTCTCTAAGCTCTACAGTACTCTAGGCTGCTGCCTTCAGGTTACACTTTCCTGAACTGTTACTAAATTCCAAAAGGAGTTAATAGGCAATTGTGGGGAAAAAAACTGAAAACAACACTTAGAACTTAGGCCTTTCTAGTTTACATGACAAAGTCTTTAGTCTCAGTAATTATGCTGGATGTGACAATCGCTTGATATGGAAGAAGTGTGACCGGCCGGCTGCTTTCCTGTTATACAGGCCTCTAAATCCGCTAACACACATAAACACAAAAACACAGATTTATAAGACACTTTCTAATTATATTATTTTTTAGGATGCAGGCAAGACAACACATTGAAACAAGGTTCCAACCCAAAATGCAGGAGTCTTTTGATCCAATTAAGTCACAACAAAGGATGGTCAAACAAAACTTAACATGTGGTTATAGCGTTCAACGCATCTCATCCAAGTACAGTTTTGGGTGTGAGATTGAGTTCTCAAGATGAGTTATTGCACATTTAGGAATCAAATTCTCCTGGATAGATGACAATCGATGGAGAAAAATGTATCTACGGTTGCATAATTGATCCCCTATCCGTCAGAGACACACAGCTTCACTTGGTAGACAGTGACATCTTGTGGGGAGTGAGATTCCTTTTGTTTCAGGTCTGGGCTGAAAAATTCCATCCTGTTCCTCTTTTTTCTAATTTACTCATTATTTTTTCTGTAATATTATTATATATTCAGTGCACACTATTTTAAATAACAATCATATACTGTAGTTTGGACCAACTTCCTTGTTTACAGGAGTCCTTTTACAGAGCAGGAGGAAGTAGCTCAAACTATTCATAACAAAAAAGGCAGTTTAACAGACAGGAAATACGACCTTGCCCCCTCATTTACATAAAATGGTATATGCAGCATATGTTTTCTGTCCAGATTCAAATCAAAGTGTTAGTGATAAATCTGTAGATTTAAAGAATGTTATTTCTTGAAATCTGGCTATAAATCCAATAATACCAAAGTATTAATTGCGCCAACAGTTGGTAACTTTAGGTAGTTATTGAATGTGTTCAATACATTTATATTCTCATTGTGATATCCAGTTACAGTAAGTTTGCAAATTGACTCTCAAACATTAATTATTTGTTTTATTATTTCTTTTCAGTGTATGCTCTCAAGTCATGACTCCACCCCCCCAAAGAGCCCCATGTGACCTTGTGTCAGGGTGAGGCTCCGGGTGCACTTGTTTCGAGCGCTACACAGGACCAGGAGGCCAAGGCTTGAGCGGAAAGAGAGGTTTGGTGTTTCTGGAGCCATGGACTACCAACAGAAACTGGCAGAGAAACTCACCATCCTCAATGAGAGAGGCAGTGGGGTGTTAATCCGCATGAACTACATTAAAAAGGTGAGGGAGCAGGAAGATGTATGTAGGCGGAGGTCTGAGTAACAGAAATAAGGAACTTCACTTTCATGTTATACGCTTACGCTTTATTGGTTTTCAAAATGTTGAACTGCATATAGCCATTACACAATGCCAATATATATTTGAAAGTAAACACAAGGTACAGACAATGACTGTATGAAGCTAAACTTAAATGTATTTTATCTGTAATGCACAAAAGTACTACAGAGTCTTATAAGGATGCACCACTAATACAATAGTAATGCACTGTTACTTAAAATCAATAAAATATGTAGGAGCTGTAACTCAAACTGTTGTAATGAAATAATGTGAGTTTTTTTAAACAATTTGTTTTTGTTGTATATGCAGAACTGTGTTCTAACTGCAAGTGAGCTTATTTCTCCAAAGAGGAAGTGCGAACAGGAAGTCAGTCTGAGCTGTCTGTCAACTTTAGTTTTAGTTATTCTAAACTGAATGCTATGAAACTCACAAATCAGATTAGATGCAAACAGACCAGTACAATAAGACATTACAGGGTTAATGGAATGAACTAATATTGATTGATTCCACAGAACGAATGTTTGCTTCATCTTGACAACCCACACTTGACTGAACGTGACATACAGGAAGTTTCACTCATGGGAAAATATAAAATGTTTTGGGTTCTGTGCGCACTGCCACACACACACACACACGCACACTCACACGCACACACACATCCATCCCCTATTCAGTTTCCCTATTTGAGCATGTATGTTCATGAGGAGAAGTGGAAGAGCAGTCTTATTTTGAGCCTGGTAGAGATGTGCTGAACATGCATCCATTACTTTATATTCCTGCAGTCAGACTTACGAGCTGCTACACTGCCTTCTACTGTCAGCCTCACAGGAGCAGTTCAGAGATAACTATACTGCTCAAGGTCACCTTCAGGGTTTCTGAGGGAGGCGGGGAGAGAAATGTTACCCATTCTGCCCACAATCTTCACAGATGGCCTGGGGATTCATCATCTGACAAGCTAGCTCTGCAAACCAGTGGTTGGATGCCAGTCAAAATGTTAAAAAAAACCACAACAATTTTATCCTGTCAGGAGAACCCACCGGGCATGAAGACGTGTTTAAAAATAAAGGGTTTAACTGCCATACATGCCCAGGTGAATCAGGACAATTATCAGGCCGAGTGTTAGGGTATGATGTACAAACTGCTCGCATCACATCCTCACATCTCTATCTTTTTCTAATCTCTGCTGCAGACCTGTGCAGACCCTAAGCTGCGGCTCTCCCTCCTGAATGATAAATCCATGGAGACCGCCATCAAGTACATCAACAAGAAATTCCCCAACATTGACTTCAGAGGAAACATTGTGAGTGTAACTGCGACTGTTTTTCCCTTCCTGCTTTATAAACATGGACATGCTTTTACTATATCTTCATGTTTTGTTTTGATGTAATGAGGAAGTTGTTTTAGATCTTGAGACAAAATGTTTAGACAATTTAGGTAATTAGTTATTGTGTGATATACTAAAAAACATTATGACATTTGGTCAAATTGATAATATTGTGATCCCATGCATGTGATTCCTGGCCTTTCACAACTATAACACAATCTCTACAAGACTCATTTTCTGATATGGCTCATAATAACAGTGCACGGGGTATATCTCATATAATCATCTGTTTTGTTTAAATACTACAATAATAATAGTGTATTTACAGGTCTCTGTAAAAAATCGGTTAGAAAACTACAACTAATCCAGAACGCCGCTGCCAGAGTCACCACCAGTAGCTTACAGAATCGATTTTAAAATTATATTGTTAACTTATAAAGCATTAAATGGTTTGGGACCCCAATATACTGTATGTCTTACATGCTGCCCTGTTACGAGCCCCCCAGAGCTCTGAGATTATCGGGGGCGGGCTTACTCATTGTTCCCCGGCTCAGAACCAAACACGCCGAAGCTGCTTTTAGTTTTTATGTTCCCCACAAATGGAATAAACTTCCAGAAAACCTGAGGTCTTCACCAACGCTGAGTTATTTTAAGTCGAGACTAAAAACACTACTTTTTACAGCTGCTTACCGAGAAGCCTTTTAACTTGTTTTATCACTACCGTATTTACAATGTTGTTTTTAAACTATTTTATATCTCATTAATGCATTGTTTTTATGAAACTGTTATTCCATTATGTTTATTTATTGTGTTCCTCTCTGTTCTATTATCATGTGTTAATAATCATGTAAAGCACTTTGAATTGCCTCTGCGTCTGAAATGTGCTATATAAATAAACGTACCTTACCTTACCTTACCTTACAATAATCCATTCATTTAACGATTTGCACATAGCTGATGTGGTTTTATCAACAAGCAAGTGGAGCTAATTAACAACAATTTGAAAATAATGTCATTCAATGCTTTGCTTCATAAAACCTGACCAAAGTTGTGATGACTTTTTTTTTTTGCAGCAAAATCTGAACAGCATCCAGCGACAGAAATCTGAAGTGTTGGCAGCCACAACGAGCTACTACGACTCGTTCCTGGACGTCATCGAGTTCAGGGTGAGGATCTCTTTTGTTCTTGTTAAGGTTTGAATGCCATTTGCATGACAAGGACCTACATGACAACTTCAGAGGAAGAAACATAAGCACCACATAACAACTGTCTACATTTACAAACATTAAAAAGATGATGGATAAATATACATTATTCTTACTTTCCTATACAAAAACAAATCTGATAATAGAAGATATTGATAATGTTTGTTATTCTCCTTTTTTAATTAATCCTTTCTTCCGCTATTTAGGTTTCCGGAATACATTTACATATAAAGTGGCTTATTTCTACATAGAAAATAACTGATTTTATTCCCAATACGGAGGACACTTAGCTCACTCTGTGTTTTGTGCAGTTTGTCACACCTCCCCTCACATTAGCATACATCTGTGATGGAGGTCGCAGCCAGGCCAATGCATCATCTGTTTTTGTAAGATTGAAAATTACTCAATCATGACGTTATAAAAATAAATATGCAAATGTGTAATGATGTTTAGGCCACAGGAATCTCTGAACATGAGAATGTGTTTATGAAATCAATTCAGAGGCTTAACATGGTGTAAATGTCTGTTTTCTGAACCGATCCTTTTCTCTTCCTCATTAGGATCACGTGTATGAGCTGCTGAACACCATAGATGCCTGTCAGTGCTTCTTTGATATTGTAAGTATACTGAATACAATATATATTTTTTATAAATTAGGGGAAACACTGAAGTCTGCACAACATCTGCTATTAATCTGACAAGCTGTCATTCAGTTGTCTCTTCATTCAATCTGCTGTATGTTGTTTACTCCTTCCTGCTAATGCAGGTTGTGTTTTCTTTCCTCACCGCCCGCAGCCTCCTTCTGTTCAGTTCTTGTATTTATCATAATTGCGTGGGATCTCTTTCCTCGTGCATTACGTATATGCTTTTGTATTTTGACATATGTCCTGATGAGACTGAAGTACTAACAGTAATTTCCGAGCCACTGACCACACTGACATTTTGATTTTAGGCAATCAACTTTGACTTCACCAAGAACTACTTGGATCTGATCATCACCTATACGTCTGTTATCATCACACTGTCTCGTATCGATGATAAGAAGGCACTGGTGGGAATGTTCAACTGCGCCCATGAGATGACCAATGGGAGCAGGTGAGAAAACAGGATACTGCTAGTGCTTGATATGATTGGATACATTAATTTAACATTACATAGTGAAAAGAAAATGGACACAATATATGCACTAAGAATCCCCATTCCTATTGATCAAGATAACATTCAGAAAGAATTTGCCATGCGCAGCTTTCCAATGAACAAACACTTAATTTAAGTGGTTTAATTAAAGCCATTACGAGTTTCCACATCCATCAATATGAACATTTCTCTGATCCTCCAAATTAATTACAATCTTAATTGCTGCAGACATTGAGCAGCCACCGCTAACCTTTTCTGAGTGCCAAGTGGTAATCTGACATTTTGAGTCCGCCCACTTTGCATATTTATTTATTCCCTCAGAGGATATTTATCTGAGTTTGAGACGTGAGCAGGGAACACAAACACATGCTGTACATTTTAGAATCACATTTACATTTCAAACCACATGTGGGGAAGCCTCTTGAGAAGAAACAACTCTGCATTATTTCAACCACTCAAAAATAAAGTTGTAAAAGAATGATATCATTTCCCAGACTTTAGTATTATCAGTAAAATCCCTGTAGGGACTGCTAGAGTGGCACAGTATTAGAATTGATATATTATTATCATGTCCTACTTCTTTTCCTTCTCCTTGATTAATTGCATACTGTGTTGGATCCTGCAGTGACCCCTCCTACCCACGGCTCGGCCAGATGTTTGTGGAGTATGAGCATCCTTTGAAGAAGCTCACGGAAGAGTTTGGCCCTCACACAAAAGTAAGCTCCATGTGCCACTGATTTTATACAGTGCAATTCAAAGCTATATCAACAGTTTGTGATTTACATGAATTAAACAGAGATGGCGGCACAGTAAAATAAACTAAATTGTCAGATTTGATTAACCTTGTCCAAATAATGCTGTATATCTAAACAGAGAACACAAATATGAAATGATACACACTTCTGTTATTGTCTTGTTACAGTATGTCACTACACCTTATTATTCAACAGCATGCACAGGCTTTCCATGCAGGGAGGACAGGCACTAATATAATGTGACAAGGTCAGACGTCCTCCTAAAGGTGTTGGATGAGGATGAGGTGACAGCTCTTTCCGAGTTGAATGCAGACATTCAACTACGAAGACTATAGCTGTACATTGCAGATGCTTTACCCAAGACTAACACAATAAATACAACACAAATCATACAAACCTTTTGTTTCAGTGAGTAAGTTATTATTTATACAAGACAGTACAAAGATAACAAACAGGAGCAATAACATAACGCACCTGTATGCATGTCAAACAAAGCCAAACAATGTCAAAGCAAATATTGTTTGGACAATCTCCTTGGACATTTCTGCTATAACAGGCACATCTGAGGCCCAGATGTGCCTGTTATAGCAAGTGATGTTTGATGTACCTTTCAAACATCAAACTTCCATGGCACTGTCATCTAACACAAACTGAACTAGTTGGCACAGCTGTCTGCACTCCTGCAAACACTGCTCTCACTATGTTCAGCAGACAATGAAAACTAATCAGGACTTTTTGCAAACATTTTAACAAAAGGTCTGCATAATATATTCTGATATAATAGACAGTAGATAAAAAGGTGCATTTCATTGTCAACCTCTCCAAGATCACACTTTATTTTTTTCAACTGCCAGATGCAGGAAACCAAATAACAACATGTTGACAGATGGTCAGATGATTCATCACTTTATTTACTGCTTTTACACTGACTCGTCTGTGTGGTCTGTGTAGTGGACCATAAAATATGCCTATGTGCGAAAAACACTGCTTTTCAGCCTCCAGCTGGTTTTTGCTATAATTCGTAGTGGAGCATTGCCATCTCTCTGTATCTCTGTCATTTTGCCCTCTTCCTGTGTCTGCCTCTCTCCAGTTTCCTTTCTCACTTCCTCCCTTTTCTTCTCCGTGTCTCTCCCAGTCTGTGACAGCGGCCTTGCTGTCTCTGAGGATGGTTTACCCACGCAGGAACCTGCCAGCAGAGCAGTGGCGTAGCGCCCAGCTCCTCAGCCTGCTGAGTGCTCCAGCCACCATGCTGGACCCGGCCTGCTGCGACACTGTAAGTGTTATGAATCCTGTTGCCTGTGGCCTCTTCATATTGGAAACACTAGTACAGCCAAAAAAGGAACCTCCAGGCTTCAATTTCTTTTGAAAAGACACCATTTATTTTTGAGAACACAGCCAGGTCTTCTGAGCTTTATTATAAATGTGGATTTTTTCATTTCTTTTTACCATATTTAGGGATGATGGTAACTATTTTAAGTAAGATAAAAACAATATATTGTCTTGAAGGAAGAACAATAACACAGGAGGAATCAATATGTTGTTAACATAACGTTTAACTGATACGTTTTACTTTTTAATACAGTAGGTTTAGCACATTTAAGGCTATAATGAATGTGTTTGTATTGGCAGTTAATGGGCTTGTTATTTATCACAGATGGCATGTGAATACCTGTCTATGGAGGTGATGGAGCGATGGATAATAAGTATGTATTACTCATACTGAATCTGCCATCTGTTCTCTTTATTAACAACATGTAAATGTAATGAACATATGCAGCGTTTTAAAATGTTTACACATTTTTAAGCACATTTCAGACATACTGATATCCAACACGTATACAATATGACACAGTAGAAGTACACACAAACATAGTACAGTAAAAGTAAAGATATTATTACTTTACCTCAGAGGCATTACCAGTTGTCATATGAAGCAGAAGGCGTCCAGCGCCACAGGTTGTTGTTTCTTAAATCTTGCTGACTGTGCTCTTTGCAGTCGGCTTCCTGTTGTGCCACAGCAGCCTGAACGTCAACCAGGCCTCTCAGGAGCTGTGGAAGATGGCTCTGCGGAGCGGCCTCTTCCTCATCCTCACCAGAGACGAGGTTCTCAACATACACAAGGTCTCCGAGGACCTCTTCATCAACATCAAAGGGTGTGTAAGCTGCACTGCTACAGTTTGAGAAGTATTACTAGTGATGAATGAACATGTAAGAAGCAATAATGGGCAATTTGTGCCAGATAATACAACCTCATATTTCAAACAAATCTCCTCTTAAGAGTTTTAAAATCTCCTGATAAGGACCTCTCGTCAGGTTTCTTTGATTAATTCTGGATTTAAATACAGTAGCTGGACCATGACTCTATCAAAAGACTTAATACGGACACATACTATAAAGGTTTTTAAAATCAACTATTTGTGTTATGATTTTTGGTTGGAAATGATCACATTAAAAACAAATATTGCCAATAACACAATAAAACATTTAAGCAATTAAAAAGGTTGTAAAGGATGAATGTTTGCAATAAACAATATAAAAACATAATGAAACATACTGTTTTAAATAATTCATTTGATATTAGAGTTTACAAAACAGTTTTTAATGTAGGTAGTTCTGTTGGAGAATACATAACATTACCAATAACTAAAATGTGAATTCCCCCTAAAATTGCTTGATTTGACTCATGGCAAGTATGACAATAAAAAAGATAAATCTGTCCACAATTCTCCTGTCAACAATTTCAAATGTTTGATATTCCATGACAACTATTTCTTATTTTAATTCAGATATAACAAGCGAGTTGCAGACATCAAGGAATGCCGTGAGCATGCTTTACTCAACAGGTGAGACTTACAGGAAACTAAGCAAAGTTTGAACATTTCTGTGTCACAAATATTCATCGATGTCCATTTCCTGTGTTCTTACCAGTGGAGCTATGCACAGAGAGAGGAGGGAGTTTCTGAGAGGAGCGTTGAAGGAATTATATAAAGTTCTGGAAGATGAACCTGGACTTCTGGGACCAAAGGTAGAAGTAAACGGGAATAACAGCTGTGCCGAGGAATTTAAATGAGTTTATACATTGTCATAAATCTAAAATGAAATTCTGATAGCATAACTTATGTAAAACAGTAGCTTTGATCCAGCTTCCATCCTGCACACATCTTGGACTCTGGGGAATAGTTGGATAGGAGGGGTGAATTATTTGGAATGACGCCTCTGTTCTGTGTGCCAATCAAATCCCTTAGGCCCTGTTTGTCTTCATGGCTCTGTCATTCTCCCGTGACGAGGTCCTGTGGCTCGTCAGACACTCTGAGAATATGCCAAAGATAAAGACGCCCGAGGACTACGTTGACAAGTAGGTCCTACTGTAGGTGCAGAGGGAGAAAACGCCTGGAGTGTCATTTTAGTGTGCCAAAATCTAGCAGGGAGCGGGTTGCAGCTCCCCCGCTACAAATGATTAAGTCTCTCCACAGTGCAGAAGCTATATAGTCTTTCGTAGTATCCTATAATGTGAAAAGAGGTTTTAGAGTGGGTTATTTGTACACATTTAATTGTGAAATGTAATACAAAGTGATTCATGTTGTTTGGTGTTTTGTTTGCAGTCAGATGGCAGAGCTGCTGTTCCACATGGAGAAGTTACGAGGTCTGATGAGCAAGTACAACTACGTAGTTCAGCGCTACCATGTCCAGTACCTGGCACAGTTTGATGCCATGGTCCTCAATGACACCATACAGGTAGCAGAAGGCATACATACTATTTTATTTTATCCATACCATTTACTAAGTCACAGAAATCAGAAAACAAGGGAAAGGTGAAATACTTACCTCTGATCATACTGCAGAAAATATTCATTGTCTATGTTTAATGTTTTGTCTATTTTTCTATTTCGTCAGTAACTTGCCGGCTGTTCTATTCAAACCACCTGGTCACTGGTTTAATTACTTACCTGTCTATCCACTCTAGTAGAACTCAGAATCTTTCGAGTCAGATAGCATAGCCCAAGATAAGAAGTGTTACATGTAGATAGTACACAGTACAGGTTCTTCTTCTTCTTCTTCTTCTTCTTCTTCTTCTTCTTCTTCTTCATACATGTATTTATGTTATTCCTCCTCTGTAGAACATGTATGTTTGTCCAGAAGAGGAGTCAGTCCTGTTGACCTCATTCGTCTCAACCCTCTCTGCTTTGTCAATCAAACAAGGTATCACAACAACATCCTGCAGGTTACCTTACTTGTATTCACCATCCAATAGTTCATTGGTGTTTGAATAATGATGTTTCCATCTCTATCTACAGTGGAAAACAAAGAGGAGTTTGACTTCAGAGCAATTCGACTGGATTGGCTGAGATTGCAGGTATTTAGGTTGATATATTGCACAGTATTCATTTGTCATTATAAATATTGCTGAAGGCCACCTTAAAGTGTTCTTGTGCTCTGTTTTAGGCCTACACAAGTGTGAACAAGGCCCCTCTTCCTCTAAGGGAGTACACCGACTTAGCGAAGGTGATGAACCTGATTCAGTTTCACACAAGGATGGTGGACAGTGCGGAAGACCTTCTGCAGGAAACATCTGAGGTGTCCATCCTGGGGTCCGTTTCTTCTTTCCTCTCCTCTTCCCTTCTCTTAAAAGGTTGAATACTTGGATGCACTAACTGTTTATTCTCTTAATTGTTTTCCAGTTTCTACCCACGTGTTTTTGAGAAGATGTTTTGCCAGAGCAGTGAGGATATCAACATGAAGCGTTACCTCATGGCCTTCCCGATTGCCTGTTCTCACTTCAGCCAGTGTGGACACCCGCTCTGCCCAGAAGAGGTCAGTATTCAGTTATGTGTTAACCAAGTCATAAATAAGGAGCTGAGAAGCATTTAAGACGTCTTACACTGCAAGTCACCAGCTCCATCATGACAGCATATGTAGGGATATTGAAAATATGCTGTAGTTTTTGCTGTCTTAACTAAAATATCATTTAAAGTTAAAAGTTAATCATTATTAAATGTTGCTATGAGAGAAATATGAAACAAATATGCATTCTCTCTTTGAGTGAATGTGTGATTTGTCTGTGCCTTTGTACAAGCCTTTGATTTTCATTTGAAAGTGGATAAAGAAGAAGTCGGGGAGAAGCTTTTGCTTCATCATTCGCTCTGATCATGTAAGGCTGTAGTGAATGTACAAGGCACAACAAATCCTGAAAACGTTATCATAGTATATACAGGATTTGCACAGTTTCACATGGCGTGTTTGTTTGTGTGTCTAGACAGAGGCAATGGAGAAGAGGAGTCTGCGCCTGTGTGTGACCTTCCTGGAGCAGATAGCCAAGCAGACCAGCAGTATTGTGTTAGATATATGTGCTGAGCAGTGCAACCTCAATGACCAGGTGAAGTCTATTTCAGTATTTTTTCAAAACTAATTATCTAGCTGAGATTGATTCCAGCAACCTCAATATCCAAATATAATAACACTAGTCTCAGCTTGGCATCGGTGAGTTTGGCTGCAGGCAGTGGACAGAATTGAGAATTTGAATAAAGTGATAAGCTAGGGCCTTATCTCTGGAGTTGATAATGCAGGATTGTTTTTGTAATCCCTTGAGGAGAATATGAAGAAAGTGTTTACTTTTTGACTGAGTGTATCCGAGACAAAAGAAAATATTTGTTTTCTGAAATCTTCCTCGTCCTTTCTGTTCTTCTTTACATCTCTGCATACACATTTTTCCACTTGATAACCCCTCAGCTGCAGCCCAGGCACTGTGCAGAGGCCATCAGCGCCGCTCGCCACAGAAAGCAAAAGAAGCCGGTGCAAAAGAAGGGAGAGGTCCAGAAAGAGAAACCAGGGGCTGAAAGCATGAGGAAAGACCGCATCGTCGTTACCAAGTCAGGTTTCTTTTCATTCCCCCACGTTCTATTCTTATCTCTCTGCCTGATTGTTCAATAATTACACTGAATCCCTCATTTCTGGAGACATTAAGCATTATCAACAGCATTTTGTTCCGGTCAAACTGCAATTAAATAAACATTTCACAAAGTATATTCCTCCAAGGTTGGAAGTAGGTTAATGCAGTTCATGTAGCTAGAAACATATTAATATCTGCTGACATGTCCAAAGGATTTCCTTCACCTCATCACGTGTTTCTCTCCTGGAGTTATCAGTTAGACAGGATTAAAATGCTTTCGCCGACAAGGCATTTGCTGTTTCGAGCTTTATTACCCTTCAAGTTGAATCAGTCAGGCTTGACAGCTAATGAATCAAGCTATTAAAAATAAGAAACAAAACGCCTCAGCATATTAAAAAAGCACTTTTACTGGCAGCACATTTCATGATGGCGTTTTCATTGTTGGATCATATTCTGTATCCATCTACTTTGGAAACCTCACTAATTAGGTATGAAGAGCTGTAATTCTGTCTCTCTCCCTTTTCTCAGATTTCATCCTTGCTGCCTCAGTTTGGCGATGTTTTACAATACTCTACCATGTTTATGACCTTAGTTGTCTTAGAATAGCTCATCCATAATACAGTCACTGTCAAAATATTTGTCCTAAAGAATCCCCCCCCCCCTCTCTCTTTCTTTTTTCTCCTAGTGTGGACAAGATGCATCTGATACTGACAGAGCTGTGCTCGTCCTACAGCCTCTGCAGTGACTTTGTTGTTTTTGACCACATCGTCGTTCCCACAGAGTTCCTCATTTCCCATCTGGAGACACGCCTCTCTGAGTATGCTGAGTGGGGATGGGGGGGAATTCTAATATATTTATATACTGTACATGTAAAAATGTGGATGATGTGATGAGTCCTCATGAGGCATAAAAAGTCCCAGAGGTGACATTTGTGATTTTTACTTCCCCTATCTGATGTGTAGCAGAAGCATTTTTAATGTTACATCAGTTATATTGCTCTCGTCACTCCATAAACAATTCCTGTCAGAAATATGCTAATTATGGACATGGGTGCCAGCTTCCATTGTGAAAGAAACACATTGTCCATGTAATATTGATTTTCTCTGCCAGTGTGTAAATCTGATGTATAATTTTACTGAGTGTAGTAACATATTTTTGTAATTTCCCTCTCTATGTCCGCTCTTGAATTCTGAAATGGTAACTGTCCAATAGGCTGACCTCCCTGCTGAACTTGGTCTGTAAAAATGACCCGGATGTGACGGAGCTCAGGGAAAACTCAAAGGCATATCAAGCTGCATTTTTTTCCAAATTGTCACCCACAGATTTGCACACAGTTTTTGTTCTCCTCCTGACAATAAGAGAATCATTAGGAGCTTCTCTTTTATTAGGTGTCACCTCCATCATTATAATGAGCCCTGCTTTTCGATCAGATACCTCTGTGTCAGGCTTTGCTGCACCCACTTAAAAACCTGAGAAGAGATCCATCAAGTCACTCCCTTGCTCTGTGTCATTTCAGTTCTAACTGTTATTTAGATTAGGGATTGGTACCAGGGCAACCTAATGTTTCCGTGTATATGCTCTGCTTAGTCTCCCTGTCTTAGCTGATGATTATCTCCCCTGTCACCCTAAAATTAGCACCCTTGAGTCACAGCGCGCTCGCAGTGATTGGTCCTTCCTTGGCAAACATTGTAAATACACTCTAAGTCAGGAAGAGACAGAGGGAAAATTAAGGGCCCTGTCAAAAAATAAATACAATTTCAGAAAAGCCCTGGAGCGGTGAATGGGCTGACCTCAGGAGAGTATAGTACCATGCCACCATGGCTCGTTTAACCCGTTTTAATGTCCCATCTGTCAGCCCTCAGCCGATTACGTCCTGGAGATAAGTGACGTTGGTTAAACATGTTTCTCCAGGATCATCGTGAGAATGGCAAATTACAACCAGACCACCCAGGAGATAGCCCGGCCCTCGGACCTCCTGGCGGCGTTGAGAGCCTATACAGCCAGCCTGCACTGCCTCTCCAGCTACATCAATGTGGACATCACCCGGCTGGTGAAGAATGTCCTGCTGCAGCAAACACAGCCCCTGGACTCACGTGGAGGGCAGACCATTACCACTATCTTCACTACCTGGTGTGTGTACAGAATGAGCTATCTACTCTATGCTGCAAGTGCTTAATCAATTACACACATCCACATATGTATAAAGCTTCATTGACATATAACAAAACAGGAAGTGTCGTGCATGCAAGTTCCTCTCTCTGCTTTGTTTTCTATCCCTCTCATCTCTCTTCTTTGTTTCTGACTTTATCTCTCTTCAATCCAAATTTCTGTTGACTTAAGCCTGAGCAAATGTTGTCTTGTCTGTTTCTTTCTGCACCTCAGGTACCTAGAGAGTCTCTTGCGTCAGGCCAGCAACTCCCTCATCGTTCACTGTCCCACGATGCACTGCTTCATCAACACCGCTACTGACAACGAGCCAAGTTTCAGAGCAGAGGAGTTTTCGGATATATCAGGTCGGGCCCCAGAGCCTAATTATAGTATTTTAATCCCTATCATCCATCATAATGTCAATGTGAATCTCATGGTACATCGTTCATTACATCTGGAGGAATAATCGTAACTCTATTTAAAAAGTTAGCATTTTTACTTTTGCACCTTCTTAAATATCAACTCTGACTTTTATTGCATATTGTGACGTAGGACAAAGTAATTCAGATGACAGTCATCAGTGACATACAGAGCTAGTACCCACAGAAACAACTCTACATTTTGGAGGTTTCAACGTGAACTTGTTTATTTTATCTTTGCAAAAATAGTGTGGTGCATGATATTGCTGCATGTAATGGAAATATTTTAGTCATATAGCTGTGTACTTTGTCAAGTATAACCAACGCCCTGCTGCAGTTTTTTAAGTATTTTCGGAAATTATTTGGAACATTTGTATGAAAAGAGCAAAAAAGGCATCAATAGGAGATGTTTTTTTGGTACTCGAAGGTTAAATGACCATGGTCCAATAGATCCAAGACGTGACTCATTTCTCAAATACTTAAAATCTTGTTCATTTATGTGACACGTCATACAGATGGAGCTGAAGTGTTATTGCTCAAAGGGATGAGGACCTTGTTATTGTGGTGTTTTTTCGGTCATGCTGCCTGTGATACAGTTTATTTTGACATTGCCTGGCTAATGTAAAGTTCAGTTCTATTTCAGCATGACTTGTCACTCCTCCACAAAGCCTCCTGTTCTGCCTCCACACTGCCTTGTAGGAGGAGTGGACCTCATCATAGCTGTATTAAGGCTTCTATTCACTCCACTCCAGCTATTGCAAACAAAAATAGAGATGCTAACATAATGCTACTTTGGAGACCACTGCACCTCAATAGATGCCTCCGCACAATGTCATCATTGTTGCCTATATTTACGTAGTGAGGTATCTGCGTGCCTCACATTGACTCACTGGCCAATCCATTAACCACCTCCAATGTTAACCACACACGTCCTTATCCATCCATAATCAGACAGAGATGTTGAGCTGAGTGAAAGCTTTAATAGTTACAGTTGTGTCCCTCGCTCATTGATTCAGCTACACTTACAGATCTCATTTAATCTTTCTTATTGTGTCCATGGTAGAGAGTCAAGCTTTGTGTTAGACTCCTGTAAAACACCACTGCGGTAACAATATGCCTCCACCTTAGCTTGTTCCTGTTGTTTGTTTTTGTAAACATGTTTGGCTGCTTGACATCAATTTAATAGTCTGTTCTATCTCCCTTTAATCATGATCCTAAATTACTCGTATCACCTTGTGAACAGAGTTACAGTCCCTGGCGGAGCTAATTGGTCCGTACGGTCTGAAGTTTCTGAGTGAGAACCTGATGTGGCACATCACCTCTCAAGTCAGTGAGCTGAAGGTATGTTACAGTGTGATGTTATGAGCTCATTTCAATTATGTCGATCAATTACCTGCTGAATTACCTTTGATGAGTATTACTTGTCTTTAGAAATATACTTGTTTTGCCCTTCAAAGGCAGAGAACAGTAGTTGGAAGCAATGTAGAGGAAAAAAACACGTTTTAAAAAAACTAATATAATGAACTATCCATAAATGTGTTTACTATAGCCGGATTCATGAGCTCAAATTAATTTATAAATCATAATGGTTTCCTTTGAGATACATGTAATTTAATTATGATTTTAAAATAAATTATTATAATTTACACAATTACACATTTTGCAGGGAATTAGCGCTTCAAAACAACGCTTTGTCTTGACAAACCTGTAAACCTCTTCTAAAGCAGTTCTCACTGCTGTACTGCGTCAGGCTCCACACTTTTACACCTAAGATTGAAGTGAGGAGCTCTGAACTTACTGAGAGGCAGATCTGTCACAGCTCAGGCCTCTGTCCATCATAATTCCAACCTGAAGGGGGTTTTGTTTCACTTTCTTCTCCCCTGTGTTAGAAACTGGTGAGAGAGAATATGGACGTCTTGGTACAGATGAGGAACAACTTCGATAAGCCAGAGGAAATGGCTAATCTTAAGAAGAGGCTGACAGGTGAGAAGTGGATAGAGACGTGGATGTGAAGGGAGAGGTATGGGGTTGAAAAGAAAAGGAATTGATCAAAGTGGAAGGTCCTGTAAAGGCTGACAGAGATCACAAAGTACTTAGGGAGGAAATAAACAGACAAAGAAGAGCAACGGTAACAAGAAGCAGAGGAGTGCTGCAGATAAATCTCACTAAGCTGAAGTCCTTATCATGTCTATACTTACTCACGTAAAGGAAAACATACTGCAGGGCCCTTTTCTCTGTCAATCACTTATATAATCCATCATAGAAGAATGAAATACTCAAACAGTCAGACGCAGGACAAACAAACAGACTAAATCCATTTAGAAAAAAGACAAACATAGGAGAAAATGGGTTTTACTGAATTGATTTATATCAAGTTAAGTGCTCCTCTAGGCTGAAGAAATACATTTACACAGGGCCTGAACTTTCACATTATACTCTTTTTATTTAGTCTTAGAAACAGTGGATGAGGAAGGCAGACCCGGAAACATCCACATTGCTGAAACAAAATATATATATAATGTATATATCTAAAAGAAGTGTCTATGATTTTCTCCTCATTTTAAGTCCTTCAAGTATCTACTTTAGATCTCTTGGTGGAAAAACCTCATTATATATATATATATATATATATATATATATATATATATATTAACTCAGCATTAATAATGCTGTCAAAATTATCGCGTTAACGGCGGTAATTCATTTTTTGAATTAATTGCGTTAAAATA